ATCCTTCGTAACTAGCCCAGTCGCTGTGTATGGAGCGTCACATCCCTGTCAGTGAGCCATTACCAAGGCAATTATATCTGACCTTATTATTAACTGTGGGATTTCACTATCAATAATTGAACACAACAGTTTTTGTCATTTCATAGGTATTTTAGATAGCATGTATGAGCCAATTAGTAGAGGATCTGTATCATCCCATGTAAGTGGCATGGTTACAAAACAACAAGACCTCATCAAGGCCCAACTACAAGAAACATCCTGGGTTTCTTCCACTGTAGACACCTGGTCAGACAGACAGATGAGAGGTTTCCTTGGTGTGACTGCGCATGCAATTGAAATCAAGAAGTCTGCCATCAACCTAAGGTTGTACCTGTTAAGTTGTAACAGGTTCACAAACACAGTTGAGAAAATCAGCGAGGTGCTTGAAGCCATCTGTGACAAATATGTAATAAAGAAAAAACTGGACTACATTATATGTGACAATGCATCAAACATGAGAAAAGCATTCACTGTGTGCTTCCCTAGAACCACTGATGATGATGCAGGACCTACTAGTGCTGATGACCTTGATGATGACAGTTTATGGGAAGAGCTCTAGGAAGACCAGCAAGATGTAGATATGGCACTGACCAGGAACTGTCAGAAGCAGCATCTTCAGGGTTTTACACACTTACTGCATTCCAGTTGCTCCTTAAATAAGCTTTTGAAAAGTGTTTGGGCCTAACAAAGGAATTCCTGCTTTTAACTGCACCAAATGGAACTCAACCCTAAGACAGATTAAAGCTATAGTATGTTTCGACCATCAGGCATTATGTGATCTCCTGGAAGAACAAGCACATAAAGAGGTAGCTTTCAGCTGCAGGGAATGGAGCCAGTTGCAAGAACTAGTCACCACCTTGGAACCTTCCTCGAAGCAACCAACTTGACATAAGTAGAGTAGGTTGTCACCATAAACCCTGTCCTGCCCTGCGTGTTGTCATTAAACCATCCTCTGCATGATATGTTAGTCAATGTTTGGTACCTGAATGGCCTAATAAGAGCCCTCAAAGACTCGCTGTGGAAAAGATTCCAAGAAATCTTTGTCACTGCACAACTGATGGAATCAACACAGGAAACTGCTGATGTACAGTTTGGTGATCCCATTTATCTCTTGTCAGCAGTACTTGATCCAGCATTCTGCATGATGTGGATCAAGCATCAGAAGTGGTGAAGGACAAGGTCAAGAAACTTGCAAAATTAAATATTATTTAAACAGCAATAGCCATTTGAGCCATGGGAGTGAAATATGAAGTGTGGACTAATTTTAGGGGTGCAATTTGTTTTGAATAAAAACAAAATCAGAAGATAAGACTCTTAAAATCCATTTAAAAGAGAAGTGGCATAGTGAATGGCTCTGACTGCATTTTAAAAATATATAATGTAAATTGAATGACAATTAATATTAGTTGTTTCGTACACACTGTAAAACGTGACCTGAACTCATCTGATGAAGCTAAACTTGAGAATTATAAAATATGACTCATCATTACTTTCAGACTTTATGCTGTATCAGCACTAAATGTATGTTTTCATATGTATAATCTCGAAATTTTAGTCTACTGTTTATAACCATTTCAGTGATTATGATTCACATTCATTGAGTTTAATCATCATTAGATCAGGTCAAGTTAGAAATAATATATGCATGACAATTTAACTTAAAACTTATTTTACTTTGGATTTTCTTCCATATATTCATTATATAAATTTGATGATGTCCCAGGCCAGCACAGTACTGATAGAAAATGACACCAGTAGTGATGAGGAAGACGTTCCACCCCAGAAGGTCCCCCAACTTTTTAAAGGGTATAAAAGAAGCAGACACTGGGGTGGGGCTTCTAAGACATCTGTATCTTCCCAACTCAGCAGATGCTTCGAGATGTACCATGAATTTCATGAAGGAAGTCCCAGTGCATCTCTTCACTTCTGGTTGGTCTACAAGAACAACCTCTCCATCTTCCTGTGACTATAAGAGTGCTGACTGTTCCTGCTTCTAGTTCTCCCATTGAATGAGTGTTCAGCCATGGAGGCATCATTATGTGCCCTCATAGAGCTAAGCTTAGTGACAAAATGCTGTCTCGGCTGACATTTCTAAAGTGTAACAATTTGTACAGATAAATTTTATACTCTGATTGCCTTCTTCTAGTCAATGACGTCACGCACTTTGATGCACATATTAAGCACAAGCACACTGCCT